CACACTCTTGGATGGTTTTAGAGACTGATCGACTATTACACAAAGATACCTTTCCTTCATAACACTGTTAAGGTTATTCCCATCTAACTTATACTTATAATTCAAATTATGATAACCCACATGCATTATCTTGTATTTGTTATAATTAAAATCCACATGCCACTTATTTGGCCAACTCACTAAATGATCTAAATTCTTTTGTAAATCAGCAGCATCCAAGACCGTAATATCATCAGCAAATTTAAGTAATTTATTGACTATCTCTTAATCTATGTCATTGATGTAAATCAAAAAGAGCAAATGTTCTAAGATCCAAGCCCTGAGGTACCCTAGTTGTAACAGTAATCCAGTTTGACTGAACTCCATTTGTAACAACCCTCTGCTTTCTTCCATCCAGCCACTCTTTTATTCAATTAGCTAACTTATCCTCCACACCTATAGAGCTAAGTTTTTACAAGCCTTTTATGTGGCACCTTGTCAAATGCTTTCTGAAAATCCAACTACACCAAATATAAACTCTTAGCCTCATCTATATAGACAGTAACCTTTTCAAAGAATGTTAAAAGATTTGTAAGGCAAGATTTTCCTTTAGTGAAACCATGTTGACTATCCAAGGTTAGGACACTTGACTCAATATGTGGGTCATGAGTTTGAATCCTATTACCAAACATGCTCATCTTTTTAGCCATGAGGGTGTTATAATGTGATGGTCAAACTCACTATTCATTGGTAGAGAATAGCCCAAGAGTTGGTATTAGGTGGTATTTATAATCTGTCTTCCTCTAGTCTATCATTTGAAAATCAGTGATGGCTGATGTAGGTAGCGCTTCAGTTTAGAACACTGTTTTTAAACCTAAAGTAATTATTTATATGAAGTATTGGTTTAAAAATAATTCTAAGTTGAATATGAGGATAAGTCTTAGAATTCAAAGCTTTTGTTTTTACATCTAAAACATGTTTCCTTGTGTACACAAGAAATTGTCTGTTTATCTATTTATAGAACATTTGTTAATTTTAGTTTTGTAAAACCTCTGAATACTTTTTAATAGTATGGCTGACAACACTGTGACTTTCTCCTTACTGTCAAAAATGTCAATATTCTGTTAACATGCTTAACCTGTAAGTAAATATTTACTGTCTCTACGAAACATATTGTTAACATGCTTGACCTGTAAATCACATTTCACTGTCTCTAAGGAACCTTTTAGAGTGGTACCTTTGGAGCAGGGTATGTTAGCCTTGATTTTTTACATGACATGTCTTTTAAAATGGTACTTTAGAGCAAAATATACACTACTTGAACATGGGTTCAAAACATTGACAA